AGAAATAAACATGGAAGTATTCCGTTTTTTATAATTGAGATCATTAGTCAATTGAAGCTAGATCACTATGAAGAACCTAGAAGCACTGGACTACCATTTTGTCTTGGGATTCTAGTGAGAAGCAGTGACTAGTGAAGTTCAACCTAGTTTGTTGTGAGATAGTAACTTACTGAAGATAATGGTGGATGTATCGCTCAATTTTGTGGATTAGTTGAAGTTATATATTAAGTTGCCAACTCAGTGGTCTAGAGACGAAATGACCGTCCAGTGCTTCCAGGTTTTCCATGATGGTCTAGCTTCAATTGATTCATAATCTCAACTATTTAAATTACTATAATATTCACAAAAATTCAGTTTGTTGAGGAAAACCCGGTGTAATGATGAAACCGTGTAATAGTTATCTTGAATTACAACTAGGAATATATCGCTACATGTTCAGAAATTTAATGAATTTGACTACAAACTGATATTAAAAGGCAATACAGCTTTTTCAGGCTGAAGTATTTTGCCATTAATAAAACTGAAGTCCCAGTGGTACAGGAAGAGTAAGTCGATGACTTCCTTTGTTGCATAACAATAACTGCAGCATTCACTAGGTCCCAAGAAATCAAGGACTTGTTCGCATATTTCTGTTTCACTGGAAACTTTTCTTCACTTGACTGAGTGATTTGTACAAATTTTATAGTCGATTACCATAACTAAATATGGCCTGGTTATGGTTTGGACAACCAAGTAGACACACGATATTCTTAGGTGGCGACTCAACGAGCCTTTGGCTTAAACGCTTAATGCTCCATAGAGTAGAGCGTCGTCAACCAATCCAGTACCACAGGAGTCGCGGACCGAATTAGGTTCATACATCATTCGTCCGCTTAGGATTCTGAGGCCAGTGTACGATGGGTGGACTCTGCGTCCAACCGGGTTTAAAGGTCAGACTCACTCTTTATTCCTCCTACGTTCGCAAAAAAACACTCGTCTAAAGGCAATGGAACTTCCTTGACGGACTAAACGCGAAGTTGCATGGGGGCGTTTCCAAAAGGAGAGCGGATCTCGATTGTACCAGAGGATTTTGTAATGTCAAGTTCAGTTTTCGAAAATGATTGAAATCAATGACTGACATCAGTTAATGAGTACTGAATGGAACTTTTACTTAGTTTGGAACTTTCCATCGTCAGCAGTGTGTACCCACACTCTACAACCTTTCATATCCTGCAGTGAGCTCGTTACATTGAAATTACCGACAAAGTGTTTTGCATGCTTACTTTATTCACTTTGCGATATAGTGCAATGTCATTAATGTCGACCTGACTATTTCGATATGGTCTAGCTCCTTCGTAACGAGTCCTAATAGCTATATATTGTAGACTTCAGGAGTTACGATGTTTTTCGTAAGTCAATCTGAATCAACGTAAGATCTAGCACAAAAGTGCCTTAGTCCAAGTTACCATATTACTTACCTACGCCTGTTGCTCGTCGTGGAGTGTGGGCCACCAACCAGGGTTCTCCAACCAAACTCTGTCCTGGGCTTCCCTTTTCAGTTGTCTCCAAGTTCTGTTTATTCATTTTGTATCTGCCCCCAATTCCCTGTGCAGTGAGGTGTTTGGTCTGCCTCGGGTTTTTGCCTTCAGGTCTCCTAGTTAGGGCTTGCCTCGTGATGCAGTCTGATTATTCCCAAAATGTATGACCTATCCAATTTCAACGTCTTTTCTTAATTTCCTCTTCATCTGGAAGCTTGTTTGTTCTCTGCCATAATAGGTTATTACTGATGAAATCTGGCCAACAATAGAAGTTTCATAACATTTGTATTGAAGATTATAACTTTGACATTGACTGACAGTTGTTTTGAGTTCCATACGTTCTTCAATTATAGCAATTCAGACCTTGCTTCGCAGACCAATGCCTTCACACCTGCATGATATTCACCTTGGTTATCAATGATGCTGTCCAATTGCGTAAAACTTTCCACCTTTTCTAGAACCTGCCCACGAAGTGTAATTCGGTGGGTGTAACATTTCAGGATCTTGCTTTTTCTCGTATGTTGAGGCCTACTGTTGTAACAGTTACTGCTACATTGACTATCTTTACCTGCATTTGTTGCTGTGTGAAGGACAGAAGAGCTAGGCCATCTGTGAAGTTTAAATCGTCTAGCTGCATCCTGATTGTCCATTGTATTCTGTGTTTTCTCTGAGATGTGGCGAGTTTTCATAATCCAGTCGACCACCAGAAGAAAGAGAAAAAGTGAAAGTAGGGTTTTTCTCACTATATGCAGATGTGTACTATAGTAACATTTCCATTTTAGTATTGTATAAATAGAGTTGACACTATTGTAAAATAATTCAAATACAGGAGTTAATCCACAAAAAAAGTTACATACCATCTTCATCAAACAACTTACCAGTATCTTACTTATAATCAAGTATTCTGTTCTGAAAATCTAATAATAAAGTTATTTGTATACAATGGCATCTTCTAAACATTTTTATCTGTGTGATTTAGTTGAAACAATAAACTATCATGTATTAACAAAATTTTCTAAGATACACCTAAGAACTGACAAAAAAGCCTACTACTTATTTGGGCAGTATTGATCTATGAGTAGTATATAACTGGATCATTGAATGTTAACAATTCACCTATTGAATACTGCTGTGTAAAATCAAAAAGAATTTTACAACAATACTAAACTTCACAATCCACTTGGTATTGTCTTATTTAAATCTTCCTATTGTTGTTTAAGGACTACAATTGATCAGTCTCTCATTAGCAAATGTAAATACAAAGATGGATGGCGACTAGCGGTGGAATTCAGTTTGATGCGCATTTCGTCCTATTTAGGAACTCGTCAATTAGATGTACCTGCATTTCAGAGTTGATATTTCCTTTAGGACTCAAAGTCAGTATCGTTCGCATCAAACGTCATTGGCGTTATTCACTTAGTTACTGAGTCCTGAGATTAAAATTTGTTACTAAAGTCATTTATCATATAACCTTTATTTGACTTAAAATTATATCACTGTCATTCAACAAAATATCGTATATATTGATCGTATTGAAATGAAAAGAAAAAAAAAGAAAGAAACAATATTAACATCACAGTTACTAACCAATTTTTATTGACTTAGATTATTCTTCATACCAATCATACATGTATCACGTGACTCAAGTAGTTTACTTAATTCAGATTTGGTTATTTTCTAAATTCAATAAAATTGATGATTGAATTTCAACAAATCAATATATTTTGGTGCTTAAAAATGAATATCCGAAGAGTTAGGAAATAGATTGATCAAGTTATTATTGAAAACATATTCAACGTTTTCTTGAATAAAGAAATGGGATATTCTAAAGTATTTCCCGACCGTTGTTGCTACCTTGACGGGGTGGTCGGACTTGCTGGCGTCTGCTGGGATCACCGAGTAAGTAATATTGAGGTTAAACGTAGGGTATTTGAGAATGATGGTAAATCAGTTGATGAGGTTATGAATCTTCATCGACTGAGATAGTTTGGCCACGTGTTACGTATGCCTGAACACCGATTACCACGACGTGCAATGCTGATTAGTGTTGGGGATGGTTGGATGAAAATTAGGGGTGGCCAAACCAAAACGTGGCATTAGTGCTTGAAGTCACTAACTTCTAGTCTGAACCATATTCGTAGATGCAGACTACTTGGTTGGGATCCGCATGACTATCGCAACCAATGGTTGGAGACTGTGTGTGACATGGCTCAGAATCGATCACAATGGCGTCGGTGTATACACTCTCTGTCTTCGCTTAAACTATGAGAGTAAAACTACTTCATATCTTTCTTTTTACAAACTAATTCTTTCTTCCTGTACTATATCCTTATTGCAATCTTTCTTTTATATATTACCACCACTGAATTAACTACTTTTATGAATCCAGTGTTCATATTGTTGTGCTTATGAGGTGTGGGAACTTGGACCAATGCATATGTGTGTCTGGTCCTACGTTGTAACTGACTGATATTCTAAAGAATTTAAACAACAGTATTTCCTGCAAAGTTAGTGGCTTCACTAAAAATCCTTATCAATTCAATATAGTAGAAGTATTAAAAAATCATTGTGAACAATCTATAAATTCGTGTATATTGACATTTACAACTAGTTGATCAATGGATATTTACCAATGTCATGTGTGTCAGATCCTTAGTTCAGATAGGATACTATTGATCTAATTGAAATGTGACTACAAGCCTAGGTGACCCGAAATCGCATGTACTATATCGACTATCTCCAAGCACCAACTTACATCTTAAGATAGTGTAGGCGATGTGAAGTTATCTAGACTAGTGGCCATATTCCAACTTGATCTGCACTGAGAAAGACCTACCACACATGACATTGATTACTAGTGATCAATCAATTGTAAATATATCTCAGTCCTACTAGAGGTCAGTTGCGGCTCGAATAGATCATTGGTAACGTCTGATTGTGATGCTAGGCGATACGAAACCCAATCCACAGGAAGCATCAGTTCCCTCAAGGTTATAATTACACTTTGCTGACGAGTGCTAAACAGGACGGAACCTAGGTCTAGGGCTTCCATTCAACTACCCCCTAACCACCACCGTAAATTAATATCTTATACTATTCAGTACACTTATTAATATATATCTTAATTCAGTAAACTATCGATCCAGAGATAATACTACCAAACTTTAAATAGAAATTCAAAAGAAAACGCCGAACAAAATCACAATTAATATGAACCATTCATATCGACTTTCAACGCCTTTGATGTTAGATTAGGTTAAGGAACACATGCCATTACACAATGTAATAAATGATTCCACGTTAAAACAAATGGTTTACAATTGGTCTACCAGCCAATTGTTAGTTTACTTTCTATCTGTTTATTTAACTGAAGTAGTTCTGTTATGCAAACATTTCAATTATTTAAACTAGACAATTAAAAGCATGATAATAGAAATTGAAATTAAACAACTCGATATCATTGAAATCATGAACTGAACAATGTAAGATCACCATTGAAAACTTTAAAGAACTAGACAACCGTTTCGCTGTAGTATGGGACACCTTAACAATACGTATATCACATGACCACATATACGTGGGATTCCAATCAACAATCTTTGATCTCGCATGCAAACGCTTAACTTCTAGACCATTGAGCTGACATTTTTAATGGTATAAATATTTAACTTAAACTAATCCAACATCATATTGCACAACTATCTTGATAACAGAAAGATGAAATAACAATGGAAATAATTAAATTATCACATTTAATTCTCTTATATTAACTGTTAGCAATAACACATAAGCGGTATTATTATATGTGAACATTATACTTCTATTTCATGTGAAAAGAGAGATAGAACAAAACAGAATGGAAAACGTACACACAAAGAAAAAAACACATAGAATAAAGCAATCAAAATAGATGGAAATATACGCATGTATAGTTCAACTAACAATTACATTCACTGATAATAGTGATGATGATGATGATAACACCAAGAATCAAGATAATATCAAGTGAGGCAACTGAAGAAAAAAAACCCAATCAACTTTGATCGATTCAAAAGAATCAATTAATGTAGAATTGATTGACACGCACACACGCACACACACAAAATAATTCACTGTCAATTATTTGTTATTGTCCATAGAAATACAACCTCCTGTATTGATGTTACCATGTACGGAATGTGTGTGTGAGAGAGAGAGAGTGTGTGTGTACAACAGATACACTTACATAACGTACGTGCACAAACTAAGAAAAGAAAGAAGAAATCGAAACAAAATATGATACATACACAGATGTGTTAGGTATGTTCATGTGAACATTTTAGAGTGGATTTACTATTTGTTACTACTCAACACCATAGTAAATAATCATCTTAGTTTGATTGCTGTCAACACATCAATTATCAATTATTTCCTTTTAGTATTAATTCATAGTATATGTAAGTGTATGGCGCAGAAATAAACTTTGTTTTAATCATATAAGAAAATAACATTATTATTATTCACGTTCCGTTTACTAATATTTATCAGTAGTAGTAAGTAGTATTAGTCGTACACAAAACCTTTTAATTGAATATTAACTTATAAAAGTAATAGAAGACAGAAAGTAAAGTTAATCATTCAACATGAAATAGATCATAATAATAATAATAAAATGAACAATCAAGAATAGGCACAATAAGCAGAGTGCAATTGCACACGCAAATGCACACATCATCATAATAAAACAAAATAATATTACTACTACTAATACTACTAATAACACAGAGAATAGAGTCCAGTCAATTGGTTGTCATCACTCAATCAGTAGTCATGGTTAATTTATCATAAATGACAAGCCAAAAAGAAGAAAACGAAACAAAACATTAATTCAATGAGTGAATGAAAAATAACCAAGAAATATGAAAGAAATCGACTACCAAAAAAAACACACCGGGGATGAATATACATAAAATTTAAGGCTCATAGTGTAATTTATGTATGTATGTATGTGTGTGGGGGTGTGTGTAAAAGAGATAATGTGCAGTGGTTATGATCAACAACAACAACAACAACAACAAAATAGAAACAATAATGATAGTTTGATAAGAGGAAACGAGTTACATATGTATATGTATATATTGTTGTACTTAAATACCATTACATAATGAATAGATCCCTTCATTATATATTCTCATGTATGCGAATTAGCTAACTGAATTCCTATCTTGTTCACAGTATTATATGAATCCATATTAATGTATGTAAGCAGTGAATATATTCTTTATGTATATATACCAAGTGAATTCAAATGAATAACACATAGAGAAAGGTTAAACACAGATAAAAAGAATATCAGTAAGAATATATTTGAATCATGGTGCACCAAGAAGATCTGGTCGTACAACTGGTTGTGAATTAATTGGTACACCACCACCATGAGGATTGTTAATAGGAGCATGTCCTGCACGTATTGGTTTAGCTATTTGTGATTGACCACGACGTGCTGTAACATTACGTTGACGTACAACTTCTTTTATTCGTTCCACTTCAACTTGATAACGTTTACGATCACGCATAGCACCTTCTTTAGCTTCTTTCAATGATAATTCTAAACTACGTACACGTTCCAGGGTACTCTGGAAAAAAGTATTTAAAAAAAACTTTAATTAAAATTCTATATTTTATAATTACGTAATATATAAGTGCAAATATACGAATCACGGAGACAAGAGTTGACTGGTGAAACCTACCAAGTCCTCAGCAAAAACTCCATCAGACAACAAAAAATAGCAGATCACAACACAGAACATAAACATGTTGAAGTCGAATACGAAAACAGAACAGTATTTAGTTTTTTTTCAATAGTTGATATTATTAAGACAATAATTGTAACTCGACTGCAGAAACGTTTAAACTTTATTCGTCATCAACTGAGGTAGTTGGGACATGTGTTACGCATACACAACCACCGTCTACATCGACAGGAGATGTTTTCTACTGTATGAGTAGTATGGTATCAGTCCACGAAGTCAATTGAACTGAGTCTTGTCAGTAGGTGTAGACTACCTGGTTATTGTCCGCGTGATTATCGTAACTAATGGTTTCGAAACGCTTAAAAGTGTTCAAAGTCGTTTGTAATGATGCAGGTGCATCCATTCACTATCCTCCCCCAGATTCTGAGTTTCTAAATTCCTCAGAACTTTTCTTGTTTTTATTCCACTAATTTATTCTACTTCCTTCTCGAATCGTGTCTTCGACGTTAAATATTTCCTAACACCACCGATACCGTTACTACCTTAACTATTCTGGGGTTTGGGCTGACAATTTCATCTCTGCGCGAACGGGATATGGCGACGTGGACTGATGTACATACGCATCAGGTTCTATGTTGTGACTAAATGACCGTAAACAGGTGCATACGCCAGGAATGTTGTCAGAAATTCTATGCACATTACATAAATATATAGACAGCATATGAAGATGTATAATTTTACGAAAAAAACAGGAATTGTAAACATCTACAAACTAACTAACCTTTAGACGTTTTTCCATTTTTGGTAATTCACAACGTAATTCTGCATTATCATGAACAAGTTGTTTATGTACTTTCGTTAATTTATCTAAATTATTTTCAAGGAATGCAATTTTTTCACGTTGTGCTAATGTACCAACTTGAATTGGTTCATCATCATCGTCATCATCCATAAGTAGACTTTCAGAGATTTGTTGTTGACCTGGTATACCACTACCAGCATTCAGTGTATTACCACCCTGGTTAGTATTATTAGTATTATTATTAGCAGTGGCTTTTTCAGCTGCAGTTAACGCATTTACACGATTAGCAGACTGAATAAGGTAGAAAAAGAAGGATTAGAAAAGTATTACCGCTGACGGAAGCAGTGGGATTATTAAACAACTGATGAGATTTGTATTCACTGGGACAACATTGCAGTACTTACTAGATATAAAATGTTAGCATACAGAAGAGTAATTAGAAAAGGGTGAAAATTCTAGAATTACTCTATGGGAAATTATAATTGTGTATTTACTAACTATTTAATATATGCTGACAACTTGAATCGGTGTAAACACTTACCACGTTCTATGTTACATATAACTGACTGATATGGTAATTTTCTATATTGCCCTAATTGTAAAGATTCAATTGTCTTATGAACTACTGTCAAATGTTCAACCTCTCCTGAATTACCATCAATAATACAGTCAGTCAGTCAGTCAGTAACAACGTAATAATACGGAATAATTCGATTGGTTATTTTCGACTGATTAACGGCAGGATACCCAATCGTTGTATGTGGTTGTGTTATGATCGATTAGCCTCAAACATTATAACTTCTACATGAAATGAATGCTATAGTAGACATATTGTAATAACTTGGATGTTTATTTATTTAATTCGATAACAAAGTCATTGATGTCAAGGAAAAGACTGGCAAAAGTGAATACCTTGAGTTTTTATGCCTTTAGCATTGATCATAGCTACAGCGATAAAAGCATTTCCCCAAGAAGTAAATTATGCGGAGAAAAATTGACTTATTCAATTCGTCCTCAAGTACTTAGTTTCAAGTAAACATACATTATGAAGTAGATAATCATGATGACCAGAATACAAGTATAAAATGATATTAGTGGGTCTAAATTTATGTCAAATATTGAAACCTTCGGACTGGTTGAAAAAGGAAATTGTCGACTTTTTTTTCATGGTTCACACAGACACTAAATTGTTATAAACCACCAAGGGAATTACGGGTTCAATTCATGCTACATAACACAATAACACAGAATATATGTAAGAACAGATAGATTATCATTCACAAAACACAAAAACAATGAGGAAACTCTAACCTTTTTAATACGACAATTAAGATCTTGTATGAATAAACGTCGTAGATTATGCAATGTTTGTAATTCTTTAATAACAGTCTCTTCTAAACCGCGTAGATCTTCTTTTGCTTGTTCACGTTTTTCTGTAGTCTTCTCCAATGTTTCCAATCGTGTAGATTTATCTTCTAGTTCTTTACGTAAACGTGTAACTTCTTCTTGAGATTTTTCTGATTGGAATTTGAAATTATTTGCTTCACTATAAAAAACAAAGTTGGATAGGTGAGGAAGACAATAAAAACTAATGAATTGACAGTTTAGCATATCAACAAATATGAATAATGCCAAATAACGTAGTTTATCGTTAATAAATGAAGACTTGATGTTTCTTAAACAAACATAGATAAAAAGAAGCCACTTTATATTGAAATTTACATTACTGGTAAACCTTATTTAGACAAAAATGGGGAACCAGGAAGAACTGAACAGCTGTCTTCGCCTAGTATGAGATCATCCATAACCTCAAGGGGAACCGAATCTAGGAATCTCAGGTTTAACAACAAACGCTTACTTACTTACGCCTGTGACTCCTCGTGGAGGAGCATACGCCGTCCACAACAAACGCTTGACCTTCAAAAAACTTCACATACAAACGGGTATTATAAGTCGATGCAAGCCTAAAATGATTGTGGATACCAATGTTTTCATTTCTTCTAAATAGTATTCAGGTCTACTTACACCTTAATTCTAACAACAATTTTTATTATAGAAAACCATTCAAAATTCTTTTACAGGATGACTAACTTTAGTCAGTCAGTCAGTAATAACTTTGAACTTTGTACGTACGTACATCAGTTCAAGTTGTCATATCACATTAGCACAGAGATGCAGTTGTCGACTCAAATTCCGTAGTTGTAGAGGTAGCAATAGTATAAGCAGTAATCGGAAAGATTAGGTTTTGAAAATATAATTCAAGGAGTATAATTCAGTGAAATAAATTTGGAAAGAGGAAAAAAGAAAGGGACATGAAGAATTCAGAAGATTAGAATTTGGGAGAACACAAAGAGTGGATGCACCTGCGCCACTGCAAACGATTTTCAACCATGTCATTCAGGGTCTCTAGCCATCGGTTGCTATCATCACGCGATCACCAACCAGGTAGTCTACATCTACCAACATGGCTCAGTCCACTTGTCAGTGACTTCATGGACTTGTACCATGTTTTGGTCTGGCCACCCCTAGCTTTCTTCCAACCTACTCCTACACCATAAAACATCGCACGTCGGGGCAGTCGGTGGTTGGGCATACGTAACACGTGTCCCAGCCATCTCAACTGATGAAGTTTCACTACTTCATCAATGGACTTCTCATCCTTACCTAGTACCCGTTTCCTAACAAATGCATTACTTACTCGGTGGTCCCAGGATATACGAGCAATGCTTAGAAGACACTTATGATCGAATACTAGTAGCATACGAATATCCTCTACTCTTACCGGCCATGTTTCACTGCCATAAAGTAGGACGGAACGAACTGCTGCGCAGTAAACCCATTATTTGGTTGGTAGACGGATATCTCGCCTACGCCATAAATGACACAAGTTGGCAAAAGCTAGTCGAGCCTTCTGTATCCGTGCTGAAATTTCGTCACACACCAGACCACAAGGGCTGATGGGACTCCCAAGATAAGTGGAGCGGTCAACACGCCCAACTACTTCACTCCCTATTATTAGCTCGGGTGTCGACGCAACCTAATACTGAAGCAACATTTTGCATTTCAAGGGGGAGAATCGCATCCCGAAAAAGCTTGCATTGTTGCTAATAGCGACTAACATGACAAACTATCATAAACGGAACGCTTTTCGGCTTCTTATAACTCTTCAACTTGGTATCAACTTGTTTTTTTCAGTCTTTTGTTATAATATATCAAAAATACTTAAAAATTTTAGTGCCTTTGATATAGGATCCTCGGGAGACCAGTCATTTATGCACCCGTACACCAACTGATAAAAACTAAGAGGAACACTTCGTCACGATTGGTGACACTCAGTCATTGTTTTCATTTTCAGGTCGTCTCAGTGTGTTAGGACTCAATATTTTTTCATGAAAGTTGAATGGTTTAATTAGTTACCGCGGCAATGTGGAAGAATTTATTGCCGTACGCATGCCAAGTTACCGTCTACCTGACATGTTATATGGGGACTGGTGCTAGACTACGACGGAAGAAATCTAGGGGCATTAGTGCTTTCCATCCATGAAACTAGAGACCATTGATTAATATCTTGCTGGTAGGCATATACTTTCATATTGACAAACAGACGATAATTGTGACCAAAGAGTGTAGACTCCAGTTATCATAACTTATAATTAACTGAAGTCGCACAGGTGTATGGATTCTTTGATTGTTTTCACAATCGCAGACACTGCTATACAGATACTACTGCTCTTTTGCTATACATTGTGTTTATTTTATTCAGCCGTGCTAAACCTATGTGAGAACATTGAACCGATAGATACATACGCATAAACCACTACGTTGATTTTGACTTATTCCAATCACTTATTTTATATGCTTTGGGAAAACCTCTCTCCTCCAACATCAAGTAAGTTATTCAGTTATAATCAACGTAGAGCCTGGCACAAACGAGGGTCAACGCGAATTCGTACATCTGATTAGTACGACTAGATAAAAGTAAAAAGGTGAATAACAAGGGTCAAAATAATTGTGGCATTAATGATAACGGGAATATGGCCTGGAAGCATTGAGTGAAGGAATACTGGAATTCAAAGTCGAGGATGAACGCATCAAGCACCAAGGTGACTTTTTCAGCTATATTCCCCAACGTCTCCAACTACTGGTTGCGATTGTCAGGTGAATCCGTTTCAGATAGACTCCATCAACATTCATAGTTCAAACCAGTAGTCATGACTTCATGAATTGATGACAGATTTTGGTTGATTGCCATGAGATTTCTTCCAACTTATTCCTCCTATACATACTAACATCTCCTGTCAAATGTTGACAGTAGTTAGGCCTATGTCACATATGTCCTAAGCATCAAAGTCAACGAACATTCACTACCTCAACAACCGATTTGGTATCTTTGTCTAACACCTAACTCTTAACCTTGATACTTATTCACTAGGTCATTTCACAAAACGTAAACAATCCTTTAAACGTACCCATGATTGAAAATCTACAGTATATGTAATGTCATAAAAAAAAATCATCTTTAAAAAAAAGAAACTTACTCTTTATATTCTTCTAATTTCTTCTGTTTTTCATCTAATTCATCCCGTAAACTTTTCACTTGTGTAGCATAATGTTCTGATTGACGTTTAAATTCTTCATCTAATTTAGCACGTATAACTGATTGTCCAGATAGAATTTTTTCATTTTGTTCACCTGAACCAGACATAAATTGTTCATTTGCACGAAGTTTAGCTATTTCTGCATTCATATTATCAACAGTTTCTTGTAAATGACGTTTACGTGATTCCGATTCATCAATTTTATCTGTTAATGTAGCAATTTTTACTTCAAACTAAAATATGAGTTTTTTTTTCAGAAAGGAAAAAAAAAAGTTAAACAAATTTATTGAAATCACATGTTACTAACACATTTTGCAGCAGGTTTGTTTCTAAGTGCTGCATAGATTTAGACTTTCTAAACAAGAAATAATAAATGTCAACAGGAAATAAAGAGTTTTAATAGTTGTGATTATGAGTTCATTGAAGCTAGACCACAACTATAGAAAACTTCAAAGCATTGGGACAACTGTTTCGTCTTAAGTATGGGACTCCTTAGCAGTGCGCATACACCAAAAAATATGGAATTAGACCAGGTAGATCAGATATATTTAATCGATGTCCTAGTAAATAACTTTTATTTCTTGAATTATGAACCAATCTAAGTTAGATCAACAGTATGACTTACTTGCTTACTTACGTCTGTTACTCCCAATGGAACATAGGCCGTCGACTAGCATTCTCCAACCCACTCTGTCATCGGCCTTTCTTTCTAGTTCTATCCAATTTCTATTCATTCTTCTCACGTCTGTCTCCATTTCTCAGCGTAATGTGTTCTTTGGCACTCCTCTTCAATCCCATTGGCATTGAGGATTCCATGTGAGGGCTTGTCTTGTAACGCAGTTGGGTGCTTTCTTCAATGTGTGTCCTATCCACTTCCAGTAATTCTTCCTGATTTCCTCCTCCGCTGGAATATGGTTTGTTCTCTCCCACAGTAGGTTGTTGCTGAGTTTCTGGCCAACGGATCCGAATTATTTTGTGTAGAAAACTGTTAATAAACACTGGTACCTTCTGGATGATGGTTGTGGTGGTTCTCCAACGTTCCGCTCCACACAGTAGAACTGTCTTGACATTTGTATTGAAAATTCTGATTTTGGTGTTGGTTGACAGATAGCCGTTTTGAGTTCTAGATGTTCTTCAGTTGTAAATATGCTGCTCTTGCTTTACCGATCCGCGCCTTCACATCTGCATCAGATCCACTGTGTTCATCAATGATGCTGCCCAAATATGTAAAGGATTTTACATCTTCCAAATCTTCTCCGTCAATTGTGATTGGATTGGTGCATGCTGTGTTGTATCGGAGAATCTTGCTTTTCTCTTTGTATATGTGGAAACCTACTGCTGCTGAGGCTGCTGCTACACTGGCCGTCTTGTCCTGAATTTGTTGTTGCGTGTACGATAGAATAACCAGATCATCTGTGAAGTCTAGGTCATGCAGCTGCATCCTATCTGTTCACTGTATTCCGTGCTTCCCTTCAGATGTTGACGTCTTCATGATCCAGTCGATCACCAGGAGAAAGAGTGAGGGTAAACAACCTCTTCTGACACCGGTCTTTGCCTCGAACGAGTCTGTCAACTGTCCGCCGTGCACGATTTTGCAGTTTGATCCATTATAGGAATTCCGTACGATATTGACCATCAGTATAAACCTGGTGATCTAACTTAGATCGATATATGATCCAAATGAAATAAACAATCTCCAAAACACTTTACTAGAAATTAATAATGAGTTTTGTGATTTCCTGTTGTTAGTCTTTAGAACTGTAATCAATCAGTCTGTATCACCATATGTACGTCTTGGGTGGATTGCCATAATATAGCTGTTTAGCCACTAATATCTACATAACCATTGGATAAATTGGTAGCTATCTGGACTGAGTAGCTAGGTGGACAATGAGATGGCGTTTGGAGCGAAAGGTACTGGGTCCGAGTTCCGTAGTAAGCATCAACCGTAGGATGCAGTTATATCCACCTGACGAGTCCCAAATAGGACGAAACGCGCATCCTGAATTTCACTGCTAGCCATCATTCATTTTTATTTAAAATTAACTCTTAGGTTAAGTATGTTACTCATCGACTGATTTTCAAAATAAAAGATAATAGAATTGTATCCTCGAAGAACATCAATTTTATCAGTATTATTTTAAGTTAATGAAATAATTTGATATTGCAGGTAAAAGGTCATGAAAATGTTATTTTGATTCAATGATATGTGATAACCATTTAATTTGATTGGTATTCTTGTAGAGATTAGTCTTTTTATTTCTTTCTCTCTTACTTTCATACTGTTCACTCATTGTTCAAATGTATTAGTTGTTCGAATTACATTCATTCACTTATGAATGTACTAATAGTACATTAGTAGTAAAATTTACAAGATTAAATTATTTACAATAAAAGATGGAACGATTGTTCAGCAAGTACTTCTATTTACCTATTTGGTTAACTAATCAGAGATATAATTAATGGCAGGAATGAATTAATAATGATAATAATAATAGTAATCAGCAATGAACACAACATACAGCATGAATTCTTGTACGTAGATCTTTTGATTCATCATCACTTTTACGCATTAATTGTACATGTTGAACACGTTCTTCTTCTAACTGACGTACACGTGATTGTAATGATTTTGCTTCAGTTTTCATTTTACTTATATATAAACGAACTACAGTGAATTCTTCATCTAATCGTTCAGCGCCAACAGATGGTTTCTATTATGATATATGAAGACAAAAAAAAACAATCAAAGAAAATCATCAGTGATGTAAACATTCCTTATTAATCAATACACAACTGTAAAAAAAACAACTTTATTATTGGTTTAATATTATCATGTTTTAAAATAGAAGAAAGATGTATCTACGTCCTAGTGTTAACTAAGTTAGAGACCCTGAATGACATGGCTCAAAATCATTTGCAATGGCTCAGGTGCATCCACTCTTTGTGTTCTCTGAAATTCTAATCTTCTGAATTCTTCATGTCTCTTTTTTCCTCTTTCCAAATTTCTTTCACTGGATTATACTCCTTGAATAACATCTTCAAAACCTAATCTTTCCGATTACTGCTTATACTCTTGCTACCTCTACCACTACGGAATTTGAGTCGACAACTGCATCTCTGTGTTAATGTGGTGTGGCAACTCGAACTGATGTACGTACGTACGAAGTTCTACGTTGTTACTGACTGACTGACTGACCTAGTGTTAACATTTACATTGAAACTTGAGCCTCGTACATTTCACTCTAAACGTTAAAATATTAACTTGAATAGCTCAGCGGATAAAGACATTCTATAATACTGAATATTTGGGACTCAAAATGGAACCATTAAAGAGTTAAATAACACTCTACCAACGTTTTAATTCAAATGTCATCCAAAAATTAGTTTTTATCATAAGTTAATTTCTGCAGTAAAAGTACATTTCTTTTATCATTGTAATGTAGGAATTTAATAGTTGATATTTTAAAATTTTAAGTTATCAATATAACATGAGCTAAGTATTTATTTGAACTCATTCAAGGTTGGTGGATACGGAGGATCTACCTAGGGGGGTTGGAAAACCCTGCTTCCAAACCAATGGTGCACATGGGCTCGAGTATCCTGAGGGAACAAATGGCGTATGAACCAATTATTGGTCATCGGCTACCATGGAACTGGATCTCCTGACGTTGCTCCACTGTCTTGTGGATTAGACTTTTTGATCAAAGACGCCGGGTGTAGCCCCTAAGAAAACCACCTGCTTCGGTTTGGGCACCCGGAAGTATCCCAGTTCTCACACAGAAGATCAGCATGGCCCCTGCGCAAGGATGACACGCGAAATCGTGAAGCGTTTCATATTTTTTAGCCCCAGATGCCCTGGTATGATCGAGAGTGGGGAGAGTCCGCTCTACCTCTCGAAATGTTCTCACATGTCCACGCGTATATAGCCTGTCACGGAAGCCCTACTCATTGCCTACTCGTGGCATTACTGTTGTTTACGAAATTGAGAGGACGAAAAGCGAATGTCCGGCGCTTTAACCGGATCCCAAACGAATGATGCACATGGGCTCAAGGATCCTGAAGGATTAAATGGCGTATGAATCGTTGGTCACCGGCTACCATGGGACTGCATTTCCTCACCATGCTCCATTGCCTTATGGGTCAGACCTTTAGGTTCAAGGCTCGGGTTGTGGCCCCCTAAGAAAACCACCTGCTTCAGTCTGGGCACCCGGGCAGTATCCCAGTCCTCACACAAATCGAATGATTTATGTGGCGCATATCTGTTCGGTGCCTTTTTGTACCAATGTTTGTGTTTAACTAAATAAATAATGTACATGAAGAAACCATTAAAAACAATAAACAGAATGAATCTTGATGGTTTTATCAATATGCGATTACTACTTATCACCAGTTGGGGAAGAAGTCTTTGTGTTTTAATCGTTTAAAGATCCCTGTCATATTAAAAAAAGACTAGTATTTGAACAAAGAATAGTCTTTTCGATAAATTCTTCACTTATCACAATCTTAAATTCACATGCTTTAAACGATGTATTTTGCTCTTAACCTGACCATTTTTCGGATTATTAATTTGGATATATGACTTGTAGAACCTGAAGAGAATTTGTCGAAAAGAATATTCTTCGTTCAAATATTAGTCTTTTTTTATTTTCTTGCATATTGAATTTACTTCTTTTAATAATGTATACAATTACATTATTTATAATTCACCTTAACTAAAACTAAATGAATATTATGTATACATAAGCTTTCTTTCTCTCTCTTCCATAACAAACACCCACATAAACACATATACAGAGAGAGATAGTAAATTAAGTGTACTAGAACTACTTTTTTTTCATTTTCATGGTAGCATAGCAATGAAAGAGGATGAAGACACTTACTGGTTGATTGATTAATTTATTGAAAGTAATCAAAACACATATCAAACTGATTTGTGTGAATCATTGAAGTGAATGAATTTTATATACGTGTGATAATTGATTTCTTCTCATATGAACCACTTTTTGATGTCCAACGCTTTCTAATATAATAGAGAATAGCTCTTATTACTTGATGTTCAAATACTCAAGGTTTTAAACAACAATATTCTTTTAAGTGTGAAAACTCTAGTGATAGATCTCAGTTGCTTAAACCAAGATAGGTGAAATAGAGTCAGTCAGTTACAATGTAGGACCAGGCACAAATTGCATCGGTCCAAGTTGCCACACCTCATTAGCACAGCAAGATGAACACCAAATTCATAGAAGCAATTAACTCAATGGTATAATATATAAAGGAAAGATTGTATATAAGAAAGTTAGTTCGTAGAAAGAAAGAAATGAAATAGTTTTAGTCTCATAGTTTAAGCGAAGACAAAGAGTGTATACACCGACGCCATTGTGATCGATTCTGAGCAATGTCATCCCGAGTCTTCAATCATTGGTTACGATAGTCACGCGAACACCAACCAAGTAGTCTGTATCTACAAACATAGTTCAGACTAGAAGTTAGTGACTTCAAGGACTGATGCCACGTTTTGGTTTGGCCGCCCCTAACTTTCTTCCAGTCATCTCCAACACCGGTAAGCATTGCGTGTCGTAGTAATCGGTGTTCAGGCATACGCAACATGTGGTTCAACCATCTCAGTCAATAAAGATTCACAACCTCATCAACTGATTGGAATGTATAACTGCGTGATTGAAAGTTGAATGTTTAATCATCACTAAGTTATCCTGCTGGATGAAAACTACATTAATTGAGGTGAGAGAAATCATCGTGATTCATTGTTGTAGACATTGGATGACGTGGGTTAGAATCGATACTGATGACGTAGATGTATCTACGCTTTATTGTCCTTTACATTTTGAGTTTTAACAATATCTTATACTTACTTTCTATTTTGTGAATAAATTCATTCTTCTCAAATAATATTTACTATACCTAATCTTTTTTATTATCATTCATATGACCACTTTGGTATTCATCTTGAACATGTCATGTTTGTGATAATTCGAACCAGGGCATATTTGTGCCAGATTCTACCTGACCACACTCATTGAATGACATTTAAAAGTATATATATATATATATATATATATATATATATATATATATATAAATGTAAACCTACCGTCAATTGATCATTTAGACATTCACCAACATCAATTAAATCTTTTAATAAACTAGACATCATTTCAGTATATTTCTTCTTTTGATTTTGATGTGTATCTTTCAATTGAGATAATTCACCATCTTTACTATGCATTAATCTAGTCTGTTTTAATAAAGATTCTTGGACTTCTTCTAATTCTTTTGCTTTTGAAGCAATCTCTTGTGCTTTTTGATCATAATTCATAGCTAATTCTTCTAAAGCTTGTAAAACTTCTTTAACCTCTTCTTTACTCGATTGATATTCAACCTGAAGATAGAAAAAAAAGACGGAATAAGTGACTGATTAAAAAAGGGAAGGAAAAGAGTAAGGAACTAATAACACAAACAATCAACATCGGTCTCAATATTACAATGATATTGTCTCAGACTGTGAAGCTGAATGACACAATTTCCTTTAAGAATCCGGGCACGCAATCTCTTTATGAAGTTACGTTCTCTGAGTTAGATGGTTTAATTTTCTACCTGAAGTTTGTGTTGATGGATTTTATTCAAAAGAACAATAAAAATTTCACGACTAAACAATCAAACTCAGAGAAAGAAACTCTGCCAAAGTCATCTACCTGAGTTACAAATCTTCTGTAACATCTCGGGTACTCATTAATTGGTGAGTCCCAGGTAGTACGAAATGCAAGTTGAATCAGAATTTCTAACCGACTACCTCTAACCATTTAAAATCAAAGCAATTACTCTTTAATAAAACTATGAGTATATCTAACCACCAAGGGATTAAATCAAGGAAAAATCAATGTGAAGACTACGTCATCTCTCCTGAAATACTACTACTCTCAAACAACTATGTGGTATTGCTTCTTACAATTAAGTCATACATTTACTCCTTTCAAGTAGTAAAGATGTTCTCGTAGAAGTGTGCAATAGTGAAAGTACAATATTCAATATTTAAAATGAACAGGTAAATACTAGAAGATCTGGTTGTGAGAACTTAGGAAACTATGTCAGTTTAAAATGACTACGTCTCTTTACGTGAAATGGATACTTTCTTGTTTGGTTTTCACTACCATTTCCTATTTAATATTTCTTCTCAAATGTACGAACAACTGTTTATGTCATGAAAAAATGAGGTGTTCAAATCATAGTCACAATGAGTGAAAGTCAAGTGAGTACAGCATGACAAGAATCAACCAAATTAAATAACTAAACCCTAAAATGTGTACAATATTAAAAAAATTGATTTGTCAAATAAATGCACAAAGGAAACGAAAACAATATTTTACTTGGAGGTTTGTGATCTCCTTCAGTTGACCTTCACGTTCTTTACGTAAAGTATTGATGATTTCGTCTTGTTCTTCAACTTGTTGTCGAAGACGAGCAATTGTTTGAGCTTGCTTATTAATTTCATCGTCTTTATCATCAAGTTGTTGATAAAGAAACTGTAGTTGTTCATCACCGACACCACCCGCGGTTGGACTGAGAGTATCACTAGGGGCAATGACACGTGATGATGGAAACGAACCGGTGCGCGCTGTGAAGGTGACATAACAATAGAAGGGTTAAGGTGGTTTATGAAACATGAGTATAACAATCTAAATAACACAAACACAAACATTTGAAAACTAACAGTTTCGAAACATGAAGCATTTAGTGGTTACAATCTGTAGGCAGTAAACTTGAATTCCAGTGTTGAAAAGAGATGACTCGAACTATAGCAAATCATCACTACCATTCAGGAGTCCTTTTTAAATAATACGTTGAAATAACGAAGTTGCAAAACTTTGGACGACAATGTAAGTTTTGTCAAAGTTGTGATCAATACTCAGTATAGACAATGTAATACCAATAATTACAAAATCTACAAACTGATCTTATTGTCAAGGTCAAATGAAACAGTATAAAATTGTCCATTATCCACTAACTGACTACAATTAACAACCAGATAGACAGTGGGACTAAGATTGGACGCTAACCATCTCAACCAACGTGACAATATAATTACAGGAGGGGATAGATTCAAAAAGCGATGATAAGTAACAGTTAACAAACAAATAACCACCAATGATATCATAAATTGGGCTGCTAAGTATGTTAGGTGAAGTTCTACTGTACATAATGAATGTGTGTAGGTGGGGTATTATATATTTATAGTGTATAAAGAGTTAACCCTAGCTATTCAGTCGATAGTAAATGATGAAGAAGATGGTATAAATGTACAGCATTAATCGAAAATGTCAAGCTTTCTAATCAATAATAGTAAGAAAGATTAGATGTTATAAAACCTACACTCTCCTAAAAGAGGGAATGAATGAAAAGGTTAGAAAGTAATTTTTAAAATAAAATATTTAGGTGCAGATTAAAATGATAAACAATTCCGTGCTACAGAGAACAAACTATAGGTACATTGTTACCCAAGGTTTCTCTCTAACCACTAGTCAGTTATTAAATGAAAGCAAACTAAGTGATAAAGATCTCAGACTTCATGGAACGATGGCAATTTTCGACTTATCAAACAAAATTTATAACAAAAGAGTATTAGGAAAAGTTAAACACACGAAAATCATAGTTTAAAATGTAACTTTAAAATATGTAGATTTGTAATAATGCAACAGACTGAGTTACACAATAATGTGGAAATGAACGATAATAATGAACTACATACAAACAGGAACAAATGAATGAAACTTGTATCCATCTGAGACAATAAATTTATTATGAAACACTCAAGTCAATTAGATAGAACATCAAAACATCATTCACAGATACAGTTTGAAAATGAAACTAGGAAAATATAAAACAGAATAGAAAAACGAAATTACTTTGAGATATATTTGATAGTTGAACACTTTGTGGTGCAGTTGCTGAAATGCTATCTGACATGAGCTTGGTTGGAAATACATCTGGAGTTGTTATGTCCTTTGCATCATCTATGGCAGCTGAATATTGAGTTTCTGTAAACCATTCAGTTTGACTGACAGATTCACCTGAAAATTTAAAGTATAATGGAAATTATTATAAATGGATTATTATTTATAACAATATAGTAAACATTCATCTTACATGTACTTAGAAATAATGAAATATAAATTTTGAAGTTAAGTTCACACAACACAGGTAAGGCATTCTAATACACAAATTATGATTTGGGTGTTAATATGTCTTATCCTTTTGATCCCTCCAGCACTAATAATCTCCGACGTCATAGCGAAAAGGTTCACAAACCGCGATCTAATAAACTTAAGGTGGGGTCCCATTTTTTCATTGAGTAGTCAATGACCGGAACGCCTTACCCGAACAAGTGGTATCAGCCCCATCAAAGAGAAGCTGGATCTTCACTGGGAGGCAATCTGTCAGGATTAACACAAGTTTACCAACTTACTATCCTTATTACTGAAGACTGAAGACTAATACTGAATATCATACGAGTCAGTATGAAATTCTATAATGTAAGCCAAATAGATATAAGTATGATATACAGTGTAGGAATTGGCTTGCAAACAAAAATGAAACACCTATGTTAATTAAATCAATCTTAATTATCTTTTTTTGATTTAAGTAGTTGAGTATTTAATACCGATAGTCCTCCTTAAATAGCAACAGTGTATCTAAGAGCCTAGTATACAAACCTGTGAATAGGTTACATTTGAACATATTATCAAAACGGAAGGTTTATCCAAACACTTCAATTTAACAGACAATTTACACATCACGGACTGACTATAACTACACAATGATTGAAAATACCAGTGATGGATGATCCATGATGGTTGCAAAATATATAGGGAATCAAATTAAGTTGGAAATGTGAACCACTACTACTTCCTCTGTATTGTAAAGATCGTGGACAATTTTTCAGTGCATTGCTTCTAATTACTTCAATTTATCAACATTTAGTCAATCAGTCAGTAACAACGTGGAACTTGGTAAGTATGTACATTAACTCAAGTTGTCATATCCCGCCCTCACAGGCATGAAGTTGTCAGCCCAAACCCCAGAATAGTTGAGGTAGTAACAGTATCAGTGAAGTTGTGAAATATTCAGCGTCGAAGATACGATTCGAGAAGGAAATATAATAAATTACTGAAATAAAAACAAGAAAAGTTTTGAGGAATTTAGAAGCTCAGAATCTGGGGGAGGATAGTGAATGGATGCGCCTGCATCATTGCAAACGATTTTGAATACTCTCATTCGAGTCTCTAACCATTAGTTACGATAATCGCGTGCACGATAACCTATTAGCAAGACTTTGTCCAACTGACTTCATGGATTGATACCACGTGTTTTGTTTCGCCAAACCAAGCTTTCTCAAAACCTACTCAATACAGCAGAAAACATCTCCGGTCGAGGTGGGCAATGGTCGTCCATGCGTAACACATGTCCCACCTACCTCAGTTGATGAAGACTCACCACTTATTCGATTGATTTGCCATCTTTACTTGGTACTCCATTATTAATCCAGACATTGGCTACTCTGTGGTTCCAAAATACACAAGATATACTCTGAAGACACCTATGATCGGAAACTAGTAACACACGAATGTCCTTTATCCTTAATCATCATGTTTCACACCTATTAAGTTGGGTGAAGCGAAATACTGAATAGTGAACTCGTAATTACGTTGGTAGATGGATATCTTTCCCCTTGTCACAAGTGATACAAGTTGGTAAAAGCCTATCGAACCTTCTAAATTCGTACCGAGATCTCATCAAACATCAGGACTGATGAGACTCAAGAGAAGTGAAGTGGTCGACACGCCCAATGTCTTCACTCCCTACCATTAATTCAGACGCTGACCCGAAGAGTTAGTTTCTAGGAGATGTCATTTATAGAATAAGTTAAGTACCTTCCCATGTCCATTGAATAAATAATACGATTGATCGATTGTGGGTGTTTTTTATGTTCTTAATTAGATTTAAATCACGTTGATTGGAATGAAACTATTCAATAACATAAAATGAACAATAGATTTAATGAGATTGTGAGTTCTTTAAGCATCGTTTTAAAGGAAAAACACATAGGCAGCTAAAGCTATGTCGAACTTCCCAAAATGATTATCAGTCAGTCGCAACGTAAAACTTGGTACGCATGTTCACGTTGCCATACCTCATTATCACAGCGAGTTGGCATTATCTGATGAGATTATGAAAGCGTTATCTCTAAAAAGATATATATATAACAAAGTTAATTAAAACTGACAGCTAACAACCTTGACGAATAAAACTTGAAGTAACCGATCTCGATGATAGTTCGCCAGAACTCGGACTCGACCATTAGTGTTCGAGTAGAGGACCTGTACGAGGCTAATGTACTTCTTTGGTTTGTCTTATAATGACAGACACTGCCACAGAGCCTCATGATCAGTGGAGTCGAATGCAGCCTTAATGTTAGGGAATTTAACTATAGCAGGACGTAGAAAAGTATGTTTATTTTACAGAAACCGACTGGGATGTTGAGCGACCGAGACCAGTGAGATGGGATTATGTCCAGTTCCCAGATTTCAGTTAATCTAATTGCTAAAACTGGACCAACATCCTTAAGAACCTCAAAAGCTAGTTCATTAGATACTGATGCTCTCCCAATCTCACCAGGAGTTGGAGAGCTTACATCTATTTGCCATTAAGGTTGCTTGGAGATAGTGGACAACTGAAGTGTGGCTGAAGGCCAGTTGAATTGCTCCCTAGATTATTTTCCCCACCGATCTAATCTCCTGGACCAACAGTGAATAATAGTCCCATCGTTTTATAATTTAAATACCGACCAATAAAATATGATTATTGGCGAACAACATTTCCTATTCTAAGCTAACACCCGATAACAAATAATCAAATGAATGAGTTTTTAAAAAAATCAAAATTAGCCCTCATGTAGCCACTATCAATTATTAGTTTTATAGTTAGGAGGATGTAAAAAATCTAAACTAGGAGATTAAAATCACTTCATATCTTTTTTTCTACGAACTAATTCTTTCTTCCTATACTATATCCTTATATGCAATCTTTCTCCTATATATTACCACCTTTGACCTAACCACTCCTATGAATCCGGCGTTCATCTTGCTGTGCTAATGAGGTATGGCAACCTGAACCGATGCATATATGTGCCTGGTCCTACGTTGTAGCTGACTGACTGACTGTAAAAAATCTGTTTTTCTTACTTCCATGAAGCAATGAATGACCGCTATACATAAACGCTACTATATTATGAACTAGGAATTCAATAATTAGTCCCGGGATTCCATGATCAAGTCACTAGTCATACAATGAACCCACTGTTTTGCAAACCATAAACATGTTCCGTTTTTATTCCAAATTGAAGCCACCCGCAGTAATGGTTATACATATGTTTATACATAGATGGTCCAATATACAGTATAACGATTTATTTTACTTTACCGTACTTCTGTAGGACAATTTCTTTGAGATATGATAGAGTTAAAAGATGATAGATACATCTGCTGGGATCACCAGGTAAGTAATAGTGAGGTTAGAAGCAGGGAACTAGGGAATTGTGGTAAATCAGTTGATGAGGTTGTGAATCTTCATCTACTGAGGTGGTTGGGACACGTGTTACGTATGCCTGAACACTGATTACCACGACGCGCAACACTGACTAGTACTGGGGATGGCTAGAAGAAAGTTAGGGGCGGCCAAACCAAGACGTGGCATCAATCCTTAAATCACTAACTCATAGTCTGAGCCACGTTGATAGATACAGACCACTTGGTTGGGGTCGGCGTGACTATCGTAACCAATGGTTGGAGACTCTTGGTGACATGGCTCAGAATCGACCACAATGGAGTAGGTGTATACGTTCTTTGTCTTCCCTTAAATCGTGAGATTAAGGTTACTTTATGCCGTTCTTTCTAATCCTTTCTTCTTGTACTATATCATCATACACAATCTTTATTTTATATATTACTACTAGTGAAGTGACTGATTCTATGAATTTGGTGTTCATCATGTTGTGCCAATGAGGTATGGCAACTTGGGCCGATGCATATATGTGCCTGGTCCCAAGTTGCGACTGACTAATAGCTACATGGCTATTGATGCGTTTTTAGTGAAACCACAGACAATCAATTTCCATTCTACATAAAGTTTTATACACTAAGCCTAAGTATTTGAGCCGTGGTTTAATGGTTAAAGTGTTCGGCTTTAAGCCACTACGTCCCATCTACTTTGGTTTGAGAAACACGGTGGTATATTATCCCTCATGTTTAGAGTGTGGCCCATACCCAAGTACCTGGTGAGGTTCGACAATATCTTAGACCTGCAATATTTAAACTGCTAGATACGCATTGATTCACTTTGAGACAAATAGTCGAATCAAGAAATAACACCAATCTATGAAGTTTTGAACTGTTGCTACAAATTTAGGTTGGAATTTATAATTTGACAATAGCCAGTGATCAGGAGTTAAAACCTAATCACCCTTTATCTAGCTCTAGATTTCAGACATTTCAATACTTACTTACTTCATTTACTCTGCACTCTTTTAGATCGCTGATAAGGTTTTATTCTTATTTATATCTGCTCGTGCTGCAGTACTCAATAAACGCCTACTATCAAAGCTTTATCTAGACTACTGGAAAAAAGTTGAATTCTTCTCAGACACAAGCGCATAACTTACCACCTCGCCAACGTTTCAGTTCACTTTCCAAACGAGATACAATATTGTGAAGTCTCCTAACTTTCTCTTTCTCACGTTCATATCGTCGTCGCCACTCATCAGCAGTTAGTTCTTCATTTACAGTGACTAAATTCTTGATTGTTTTAGCGCGCATGCCAAACATAAGAGTTGATTTTGTCTCAGCATCGTTAAAAGCAGCTGGTGAACAACATATCACCATTGTTGTCCGTGCATTACCACCCAGAGATTCTTGAAGAATACGCGTCAACTTAGAATCACGGTAAGGAACGTGCGACTGAGAATAGAAAATTTATTAAGAACTGACTTAACAAATAACGTACTCAATTTTGGAAAAATGGGGGGACTTTAAAATTTGCCATTTCCATTTTCATTACTGAGTACACAATTTTTTACTACTTAAACAATAAATATGCGTTGTAAAACTAATTTCTGAATCGTTTACTTGGTGAAAAGTCAACTTAAATCATCATATTCCAAAAAGTTCAGTTAGAATCTACCCGATAAATATGCTAGCAACGTGCAGTTAGGTTTACGTCAATGTTTTTCATGTAACTCTGCCTGGTTACTGCCGGTCCCAAGGATAAATGGAAGATTGGAAATAAGGTTAGCAATCCCATCCAGTAAAAACGAACCATGTGAAAAAAAACACTAAGCAGAAAACAATTTTTGGTTCGCATTACTCAGAATAGTTTAGCAACCAGTTCAAAACTTGAATTCGGATTCCACCACTGCCTCTGACGGACAACCAAATCATAATCAGTTCAAGTATACGAAGACCACTTAAACAAGAGTACATAACGTTAAGCTCCCCTCCAGCTATCACCGTGGTCAATAAACATCAAAAGAACTCAAGTAGGTGGTCGGTCGTTCAGCAACTGACAAAAAAATACGATTCTGAAATCATACAAGTAGTGTAAAGCTTAATCTCAAGATTACTTGTTAATTTTAACACAACTGAGGAAAATAAATCAAAACAATAATAAAGTGTAAAACTTACGCTTCCTTCTACAAGTGCATTGATCACATTACCGAGAGCAGACAATGATTTGTTGATATTTTTAGCTTCATCCAAAACAGTACCCTCAGCCCCTGTTTTAGCAACTTTCTCACTACCAGCCAAATCAACAAGATAAAGTTTTCCATGGAGTTTTTTCTGCGTTTCTAAATTTTCTTGTCGAACGGTAATCATGAATACTGAATGACTTCGAGAACTATGTTCGTTCATGTCTACACAATGATAAAACGATAAGATTATAATAGCAGAGGAAGATAAATAATCTTAGTCTGAAAAATATTTGGACTGAAATTGGTATCAAAAGATTTAAATAAATTCTGGACCTTAATAACTCACTACGTAGTCTGTTGATACTAAATACGTTTAATCATTCAGTTTCGAATGTATGTAGCTTTTTTATCGCTAGATACTAACTGAGATTAAATGACTTGTAATCGGACGTTTTGAGTACTTGGATAATATTACAGAAAAATCGTTAAGACTATATTTACTGAAGTAACAGCCTCTAGTCAACCTGTTATATTACCCAACCATTGATTACTAGAGGCAGTGTGTCTGGAGTGTTTCAGATGCCTTAATTTGGAAAGTCATGTGATATCACCGACCCTCAAATACAAAAGTCATACCGCGACCAATAATTTCAAGTCTATAACTTTAGATACAACCCAAAGCATGTCAAAATACCACTTTTTATTTAGCGACACCTGTATGTTGAGAAACCATCGTTTATAGCTCTAAACAATAATACGTCTTTCTAAACTACTACGTTTTCAACAATCAAAATCGCATTAACAGCAAAGGATAAATAAAGTCAATTTCTAGTTAGGAAAAATCATTAAGACATCTATATTTCTGCTTGAGGCAGAACGCAAGATACAGTAAATACATAATGCAATTATTGTCATGTAAACATTTTCCTTATTATTGTAATGAGACCGTAAACAACACTTCTATTTAGCGAGCAGTGGTTTTACGCACTAAGTATTAAGTGGGTAGTGGGAACGACAAGTGAGACTTACTTGTTACGGCTACATGACGATTAGCTTTCCCCTCATCAATGACGTCAAATACTTCTTCAGGACTGGACACGAACCGTTCTGTGGCTCCCTTAAGGTTTTGAATGAGAGAAAACTGCAAATATTACTTTAACATAAGGCACTCGATCTTTATCTTCATGAACAGGTAGGTTTGTCTTTGAAACTAAGCCAGGATATACATTGAATGACAGACTTACCATCAAGCAAATCGCGAATCTTATCCATGTATATTTCAAAATATGAAACCTGAGGATTAAAAAATTATTTTCAAGAGTTACTTTGATATGGAATTCAAGGTTTTCATCCATTTGGTAGATGTGATTGAATATGTCGTGTATTATCCGGGGGATAACACCCTGAAAGACTGGGTCGCCTAAAATCCCCTGAACGAAGCGTTATTAAACGGATATTCTTGCCTCCATGGTAAATGTTTTTCCACTCGATGTCTGACCATAGGCGAAAATTGTGCCGTTATATCCATTTAGAACATCTGCAACAATTGGTTTGGCAACAATTTCGTAGACCTCTAACTGGGTTGCCTTAGGTTGTACTACATGGTCAAAGTTAAAGTTTTTGCCCTGAAATAAAGAATTATGTTGATCCAAAAAATCTTACTCCAATCGATATTGCCGTTTTGCCATCACCAGGAAAAGATACAACAAACTTGCTGTCGTTCGCCTTTTCTAGATCATTGAGTGGTCTTACACGGCAAATGACCTTTATGCTCTCAGACATATTAAACCCTGCCCGGAAATCTAGATCCGCCAAACGATCTCAGGAGAAAAGCGCGCCAACAAGTAACTGGCACAAATCACCTTCGCCATCATCTCACTACTCTAAAAATTGTTGCATTGAATAGCTTCAAATTCCAAACTTTGTTGACAGGAAAAAACGAGTTGATCTCTATTGGAATCCGCGTTGGGATCATGAAGAATGCTGCTTTTTATATTCGGAAATTATAAGAGTATACTTTTGTTTTAGTTATTGAGAAACTCAAGAGAAATAGTGCTCCAATCAAGGATTGTGTTTTTTGAACAGAAGGTTAGATGTTTCTGAAAGTTCTTTGATAAAATTTTTACATGAGTGTTTATTTTTCCAATTAGATTGCTTGAACATTCAATAATTCTCATGGAAAGTGATTCGAAGTTTTGAATACTCTTAGAGAAAACTTGTCGTCCAAGATTTCCTGTAATATTCAGAATGCAGTGATAGAGTGGATGAGGTTAGAAATCGATTTTTGGAATGACGTGAGCTGTGACCGGATCCCGACTTGCACGAACGGATGAATATGCTGCAAATTAGACTTGGGGTAATCACGTTTGAGTGATGCGGGCAATGAAAATCCAAATACGGAGCAAGTTGGATGAATTTGTTTCATCCACCCGCCAGCTCTGGTGGATATTAAGTTGATAAGCGAGAAAGCGAAACGAAGCGGAGCGGAGAAGGAGAGCAAACGGACTCCGTCTGATGGAGCGTAACTCACTTTCTATAACCGGGAAAAACTAAACTGATGACATGTAGTGAATAGGGTAAGCAATGCATGAGCTCTCAATTAAAGATATTGCATGCTACAAGCGAATAATGGACAATGTGAATATATGAGTGTATAATGATTTATTAAAAATAAACTAATTGACCCACCCAGAAACTGGGATAACCTATGCGGCCGTGACGTAGTATTAACAATATCACTCTAATCTACATTAAGATAAAGTAGAGTGGCCTAGCTTCTGAAGTTGACCATTATGATGCAAGCATCTTTGAAATTAAGTTCCTTGTTGATCTCTGTACTCCTCAAAGGAAATCTGAACTTTTTAAACCAGTATCATTGGGTTTGTTCGCAGTTTTACTATGTGAACCTCAATGTGGACATTGTGATATTCTTAACACCTTGTTTTAAAACATTCGCCTCCCACACAACCGTAGAGAATCTTGATTCACTTGTTCTTACTTACTGTGATTTCTAAACCACCGTCTGCTAGTTCCTTATGTAACACCTCCTATGAACACTAGGAAAACTTAGATCCACCTGATTGTCTTGATGATGTTCTAATCAGTTTGGCGAGATGCTGAGATTAGACAAAGTGCATGCACATTATTTCCCACCACTTATAACCACGATTGACATCGTCAGAATGACGAAATATTGCAGACTTGATGGCACATGAAAATTCGTTGATACATGGAACGAATAATAATGGAGCTGCTATCAAATAATGTGACGCCCTCCTATCAACCTCTGGTTTTCAAGAGGAGATTTTCAACCAACGGCAAACCCCTTCGTTTGCCAAAGTAGGAGTTCGCTCACCACCAACCTTTCCGGTTTAAGTAGAGACTTATTGAGCGGAACCTGGTATGACCCTTTGTTTACGTCAAAGTGGACTAGATATTCTGGCTTTCCGTCATCTGATGGGTGCGCCCACTTCGCGCAAAATGAAAAGTTTATTGTCCTCAAGCGCTACTGAAAGGCGGTTAAGTTCATAGTATTCGTTTGGATGAATCATCGGAGTGTACTAACGATATCTACCTTGGAGTTGAGATTCACTAATAAGGTTATTTTTATGCTCTGTTATAGTGAAAACGATAATTAGTTTTATGGTGGGTGAACGTCTACTCTTCATCATCAACATTCTGGTTTTCCCCAAAATAACAAACTATTTCGGGACGGTTTCCACCCAATGGGTGCTCCGAGAAATTCATTCACTGAAACTAAGGGGTACTATGCAAATGCACACAGCCCACAAAAAAAAATGGTGGACACGAAAACATTAATGTGATTGTCACCTCAGAAACACGGTTAACATCAGACGTGCATGGTGGTAAAATTCAATTGCTTAGTTTCTTACTTGGTAGGATTGACAGATTAAACTGGGGGCGTGGTAGAGTTATCGTGAACGCCGTAAGTACCTTAACTATACAAGGTGACAAGACAGTGGCAAGTGATTCAGGGACATGTAGACTGGTGTGCTGCAGGATGAAATGTAAACGGTAAGATATTGAACCAGTTTTAGTGTGCCACACTCTAGAATGTGTAGTGGACCTAAGTCCTGATGCAATCGGGGTAAAAGCCTTATATTAGGTGGCTTTAATATACCGCCTATAAACTGAGGAAACTTGGAAGTGTAGTCATCAACAAAAGAAATCACTATCGCCCTAGCTTTATTCCAGACACCACTAAATATGAACTACAAAACTCCTCGTCTCTCTTGGACCTAATCTTCACACATGATGATGTCAGTCAACTAACTTTCCTCCTACTTTTAGGGAGAGGTGGTCATGTAGTCATCTTATTCAAGCTCATGGCTAGGATGGCCTGCCAAGCAGTTGCACAGGTATGTCCAGATATATGAAAGTGGTACGTGAGGGCGATCAACATTGAATCCTCGGCTGAAAACTAGGCAGTTGACTCAGGGACATCGGTAGAAGAGGGATGGACTCATTTCCCGCAGTTTCACCATCGGATAACTTAACCATACTGTGAACAGTCCCAAAGAAGATGAAGTATGGCCATCCCCGGATAGACCGGGATATTCGGCGTTTACTAAGATCAATGGAGAAATGTTGAAACATCGCCATCAGCACAGGTGGGTATGAAATAAGTGTATAATTACAATCCGGAAAGATCAACGAGTATATGAAAAGCAATTAGCTTATTCTGTAATCAAACAGCCGAAGAGGCTATTCTCGTACACTTATCATAAAAAAGGACTCGTCATTGGATTCCCAACCTAATGACGGAAGGGATTGGGTCTCAAACGGCGGAGGATGGTCAGGACAAAGTGGAGGCCATGGCAATCTATTGCGGGACAGTTTACACTCAGGAGCCTTTTCTGGACAAAGAACTAGACTCAAATACGAAGTCGAACAATAATAATAAGTTGTTCCCAAATAAAAATATGCTACCTGAGGCATGTCAGCCTACAAGCAAGATCAAATCATTACAGATGATAAGTTATGGCTTATATCAAGAAGCTAAACCTAAAGTCCTTAGCACTTCAAGCAGGGAACGATCAGCAGGACCGAGCGAACCAAGCCCTTAAGTCTTGAGACAAATTACACAATATATTACCTCCAATATGTCCAATATGTCACTTGAGCAAGATGAGTTATCTACGAACTGGAAGAATGTAATTGTCACCCCAATACATAAATCCATTTTAAGGCAACTTCCATCAAACTAAAGACCTCTGAGCCTCACCAGTATCGTAGATAAATACTGGAAAGAGTAATCAAAAAGACCACGATGACATTACTGGAAAACAACAACTTGCTAAACAGTGAAAAACACAATTTCAGAAAAAGTGTGTCTTATTCAACAACTTTGCTTAAGGTAAGAGAGCAATGAGTAGATGCTCTAGATAGTGGGAAATCAATGAAGGTTGTGTAGCGTGGCGTCGAGTTGAGATTAACTGTGAACACCGCTACCCAGAAACACGTGCCAGACAAATCAGAAGGCGAGGATCGATCGTAACCAGATTTATTTCGTTGGCGATCTCGTGGTATTGAACGAATACCGAGATCGTGCCAAGGAATGGTACAAGTGAAAGCAGAAACGGGAGTACGTGTGAGCAGTACCAAAAACCGCGGAACAATAATGGAAGGTAATGGAAGCACAAAATGGCTACAATTAGCACAGTTAAACAAAAGCACATTAAAACAAACACTGGTACAGTTGGTTATAATAATAATTGTTTTTATTAAACCAGTCGTGTTCTCGTGATAAACGTGAGTCACTACAGGAGCCCCCCGCTAGAAAGGGTTTACACTTTCGATAAATAGCGGTTTGAATCGTGGGACTGATCGGCTGACGAGCGATTGTAGGACGGAAAGATTGGCGAACAGGAAAGCGATCGTTGATCGTCGAGTTGCCAACGAAGGTCGTTTTCGGAGAACAGTACCAGGAGCGATGTATTGCATTGATTGCTCGAGTTGGCATGCTACACCAGAGTGGTTTGTATCCAGAATCTGAAGAGGGCGTTCGTAGAGGTGCGCACCAGAAACGCTGCAGACGTAGGACGAAACCACGTTGAGCCAAAAGACCAGAAGCGACCGTAAAGACCAAGTTCGAGACCAAGCGTATGCCAAGCATTCGAAACCAATATATCGACTGAAAACGTTGACAAGAGCATGGGTGGCCAATCCAGCTTTCGCCAAAGTTGACTGAAGTCGACGGAACCAAACGGAGATGGTCGAAGGCGTGGGCTCAGGAAACAAAAAGAAAATCAAAAAAGAAGAGTGTAGCATGCAAGTAGCATAGGAATATTCCTACACCGTATCGGTTGTCGACTGTGCGACTAATCGAGGAAGCGTACGGGTAACCGTACTCGGCGACCGGAACGTGAGACGATAGTCTCGTTCGCGTCGCGTGAGCCTGCAATCTCATCCGAAGTCAAGGGCGGCGTGTTCTGCTGATCTGGACGTGAGACTGTCGTCTCGTCCGTAGACGGTGCAGATGACGCGTGCTGTTGACTGGGACGTGAGAGTGAGGTCTCAGTTGTATCTAGCGTGGGACCTGTAGATGATTTGAGGATCCCGCTAGTAGGTTTACTTGGTCTAGCATTGAATCTCAGGTTATCAGATAGGGTACTGTCATCGACGTGTGCTGGTTTGAGACGATCAATGCTGACGATCTCGACGCGGCCGTGTCGATCAACCTTGAAGGTCTTTTCGTGACGAGCGATCACGCGAAAAGGGCCTTCGTAAGGTTGTTGCAAAGGTTTGCGTACCGAATCTAC